AATCCGAAATATCGATTGAAATTCTCGACAACTAGTAGAAGCTTACTGTCAGCAAACATTCAGAAAGTTTTAATTTTATTCTGTATCAGTTTGTACGGTCTAAGCCACGAATGCCAAGAACTGTTTCTGTTATTTATTGCTAGGCCTATGGATCAACCTAGAAAATTAATATTTTTTTCAAAAAGCACTAAAATTTGAAACATTAAAGCGGCTATGCAAGTCGGCCTCGCAACGGGACACTCCGACCTGGGTTGTAAACAGCCTAATGCAGGAAGCGCGATACCTCTAATTCCTAAAAAAAGTCGCGATTGTCACCGAAGTCAGCGACATCTGCATCGCTTTGCTAAACAGAACGAAGTCTGAATACCAATATGGAATTGAACTTGGTTCGACTCTGAGCTTCCTGAACCGCTTGTCGATACGACGGGCTCACGGTGTTCGGTAATAAGGGTGCAAGATAAGTTTACTCTTTCAAAGCCGAATAAGAAAAATTAGTAATGGATGATGCTGATGGTCTTCTGCAAGGAGGACATAGAAGGATAACGTCGAGGTGAAAGGATCCTTTACGAAACGACGGAATGGACGAAGGGTGGGTAGGCGATAAAGCCAATGCCTCCAACGTTTCGCGTATAGCTTACTTAGACGCTCAAGTGGCCCGTCTTTACGTGATGTGCGAGCCCTAGCACAGAATGTCACTCCTTGTCTTTTGCTTTAGACATCCACGATTTTCTTGATTGTTACTTCTCACCGAAAAAGTTCGGTTTGTTTCCAGACCAGTGCCGAGTCCTACTCCTAGATAGTTTTATTCTAGTTTTGAAGATTTCTCAAATTTAGCTTCAATTTGTTTTTGGGATTTCTCTAGTTTTTATTACTGTGGAAGGGAGACCATACCCTAGGATCAGATTCTTCGCTTTTCAAGCTCGAAACTTGTTCCACGCGACCTCAAAAACTGGTTATACAATAATCCATTCTTCCTGTTTCCCAAGTACTGAGTACACATTCGATAGAGAAGAAGTTCTACAAACTGGGATTGCTTTGACAAATGCATGACAGTTTTTGTTTTAATGCCTCTAGCCAAAGAAACTTAGGAACAAGATTTTGAGTGCCTAGTACGGAGGGAATATGGGTAGTTAGAGGTCACTACGACTTTTTGGAGAAGATCCCACTTTTCATGTATTTTGAAGTTTTAGATTTTGGTTTCATTTCATGTAAATCAAACTGCCCCACATATTCGGATATTTTGTACAACATACTTTGCACTGCTTTGTTCTGCACTGTTTTCTTCACATTGATTCATTCGTTTCTATGAGCCTCTTCTTGATCATTCGACGATTATTCACTGAGAAATCTCCGAATCTTTGCAAATCTATGACATTTGAAAATCGCAAATGTGAGAATTTTTGGGCTTGTGATGCAGTGGCAGAGTAAGCAAAGTAAATGTAACAAGCGATTTAGTCGATGAAGCAAAATACACAAGGAGGCGTAGCTGAATTAATCGCAATAAAAATTAATTAAGGGCCAATTTTCAAACTTCTCAGGTTTTTCTGATTAAAATACAGTTATACCTTACGCAGGTCCAATCTGCTCGCGTATACTCTACACATAATCATTCACATGTACTGCTGCTGAATCATTTACATGGCAACAATACGAGAAATAAAATTGGACTTAGAATACAAAAATATGTTTTCCAGTTTTTGACACCAAATTCCATATTTCTCAAATCTACTCCTTAAAAAAATCATGGTTGCCCTTGCAGCGATGTCGGAAATGCGAAGCGTTGCCTAGTAAAGAACCCCAATTTTATTGGGATGCTGGCTTTCCAAAATTATTCGCACCATTTTCAAAAAATCATAACTTCTTTCCGTCACGACGATTTTGCGCAATTTAAATTTTATTAGAAAGCGTAAAGCATGTAGTTTCCAAAAGTCCCCTGGACACTTTCCAGAATGTTCAGATTACAGAGATAAAAATGAAAGGACGAAAACATTCGAAATTCGGAATTTTTGAGCAAAAATTCTAAGAATCGAAAAACTGCGCGATAAAATCCAGAAAAGCCATTATCCCAATTTTTCTTATATTTGATTAATAACTGAGTTAGGTTTGTGCTGATCGAGATCTTCTTTCAATAGTTATGATTTTTGAAAAAAAAATGTCGAAAAATCAATCTTAAGAGTTCTTAGGAAAGTGATTTTTCGGAATTTTCTTTACAAAAAATCATAACTTTTGAAAGAAGAGCTCGATCAGCACAAACCTAACTCAGTTATTAATCAAATATAAGAAAAATTGGGATAATGGCCTTTCTGGATTTTATCGCGCAGTTTCTTGATTTTTAGAATTTTTGCTCAAAAATTCCGAATTTCGAATGTTTTCGTTCTTTTATTTTTATCTCTGCAATCTGAACATTCTGGAAAGTTTTTCCCAGGGGACTTTTGGAAACCACATGCTTTACGCTTTCTAATAAAATTTAAATTGCGCAAAATCGTTATGATGCAAAGAAATTATGATTTTTTGAAAATGGTGCGAACGAACTTTTGGTTCAACCTAATACAAAATCCGCTGAGAAGCCGCAACGCGTTTGTCCTGCCGGATATGGTTTGTCTGAGAATGTGGGGTCCACTGCAGAGTGATATTATGTAAAAAAAATTTGCAAAGATTGCTAAACATTTTCGTCCTTACATCGAAAATTTCTTGCGATGCATCTGATCAACAAAAAAACACGCAAAGCGTTTCGAATGTTGCTCATAACAGTCCTCTATTACAAGAAGTTCTAGGTGACGCCCCACGAAGGCTCCGTTCGCTTTCGCTCAAAGTAAGTTAATAACGCAAAACTCAACCCAACTAGGCAATATAACATGACATTTACAATGATCTTGCTGCACTCGCATTTGATATTATTAGGACTTACAGTAAAGGTAAGGTAACTTTTTACTCACCAGTTCGCGGTCGTTCTCCTGCTTTCAAGAAAGAGCCTTTTAACAATTCTGCTGGGGAGTCTATTCGTGAAGGCACAGTTCTATCAAAAAGTACATACCAAAGCCACACACAATGTGCGCTGAAGGTACACCACCATGAACCTTCGGCACAAAAAACCGAGTATACATACAGCTTAATCATGGAGGCATTCTGCAACTTCAGCAGCATTCTTAACACGTGCCATCGTAGCAAAAACTCGATAACAAAATTTTCGAAAAGAGTACCTCAGAATAGTCCCAGGCTACGACATATGACACATGAGAGCAGATTGACCTCACACAGTACGCCAATCGCATATTCGCACTATACCTTCGGCAGCAAAAGAATATATTGATCGCCATTAGAACATTCAAAATCACCTTGTGCAAATTTCAGAACAGATGCGTGTGAAGTGATAATATTAGACGCTTACAGTACTCCTATAATGTGCGCAGTAGCAAATTTGTGTGTCGTGAACTGCTTAATCGCTGAGGACCACGCGCGGCGCGGCTGAATTGTCGCGAGAGCACGACTTATACAATGGCAATTTGTACTGGGACAAGCGTTTTACCTCGCGGCGTGTGCTCCGAAGTGTTGCCCAGTCTTGCCGTCAACGAATCAACTATAAATGTTGGTATCAGTACATTGAGTAACCCATCTAAGTCAAGAAACCAGAAGAGTTTGTGAAAACTGACTACCTGCATATACCCATCGTATCCTACAAATTACGGCATGTATCAAAAGGTAAGTGTTTGCCTAGCTACAGTCGAGTAGATTTTCCGCTCAATATAGCGTGCTTGCACTGAAGGTAAAATTTGCATGTGAACAAGTAGCCAAGCCGGCAATGCCAGCATTTCGTGCGCGCAAATGGCCGACATCACAGGCATAGCTCTTTGTTCACATGCAACTTTCACCCATTTCACTTTCAGTGCAACCACACTATATCAAGCGGAAAATCTACTCGACTGTAAGTGAAATGGTAAATTTGGATTCAAAATTTGTCTTTTGTGGACTGAGATAAGGCGACCAGAATTTTGGCGAACTCGACTGCCAACTTGGCTGTTGACCGTTACGGTTTTTTTTCACACATTAACAAATTTACTACCAAACACTCGATGTCGTATCGGACATACGACCCACTAGTGCCTACCTTATCATTCATTTTTTTTCAAACAGCGACGGGTTGTATGGTCAAACGGTAGCAATTTAATTAGGGCTACCTACATGTCTCTAAACATGTGCCGAAATCTCGTGTAGTTTCATCGTGAACTTGCAATGCTTAGAAATACATGGTGCGTCGTATTGTCCGAAATTGCAGTATATGTACACCAACGGTGAGTCGTAATGCCGTAAATGTAAATGTAAATATGTTAACAGTTGTGTTATACGTGATATTGCGTAGACGTCCCAGTTGGAAGTTTTTGTATATTGTTCTATTTTAAAGTGACTGACTACAGCGAGACACTTGCATTTCCATATGGAGGTTGCTCTTTCCGCATAATCACTTAGCTCTTCAATTTTAAACAGCTGGTATAACAAACCTGGTGCAAGCTAACCGACAGGAAATTGATGCTCACAAATTACATCGCTACATATTCTTTGGAAGAGGAGAAAACCAGAGTAGATTTTTGTGAATCACAAATGACTCGAATGTAAAGTTAGCCGAGTAATTGCTGGTATCACGTCGGATTGTATCACAGAAGACTTTGCGGAAAGGTTTCAAATAAACATAAAACGCTTTTTTGTCAATTTCGACAACTCATCTAGTTGACAATGTAAGAGAAGCGCCTAGAAATGCAACTTTCTATTGACAATGTAAGAGAAGCGCCTAGAAATGCAACTTTCTATTGACAATGTAATAAAACCGCTTTGGTAAGTGTTTGCAATACAAATATATTATTAATTTGTCTTGAACTGAGAAAGAGTATCAAAAAGTACTTGGAGATGCGTTGCTAGTTTGTGCCTTCAACCCAAACTACCTGTTATGCCTTGTCTTGTGTAAACATGACATAATTCAGTACTATTGCAAAAATCTCATGCAGTACCTGTACAAATTGAAAGCTGTTGGAGTCTCTCCCGAATATTTTCCTTACGTTTCTGTCGGTCCGTGCATGGGTTTGGATTGCGTGCATCCAGGAATTGAGGTCAGCTCTTTGCAATGAGCAAATACGCAAACGCGAGCAATTAGTATTTTAGGTTGAGTATCTGGAATGGTGCTTGCAAATGATCAATGCAACTATGATAATAAGTCCAACAATAGTAAACACTGGCGAGATGTTGATGACGGCAATTATTTGGTGTTAACATTCTGTCTGTAACTAAACATAAAGTTTGCAGCTTATAAATGGAACCGCAGATATTACCCTCAGGAGTGTCAGCTTAAGCGATCTAGAGCTGATAGAAAAGCAGGTAATACATTTGACTTCATGATTAGGTCATACGGTTTGTTAGAATGTTTGCAGGTGGATTTTACAACGCCTACTAATATGGTCTATGTTGGATATATTGTGAAAGAAAGCGCTCATGTCGAAGTCGGAGATTACATTGTTGGAGCGTTTTCAGGAGCCGTAAGATACTAATCATTAATTCGTTAGCGACCTTGTATTTTGCGTGATCTGTTTGAGAAACCGCACTATATATAACTCGGGGCAATTGAGAAACTTATTATGAACCAAGGATAAGGATAGCACTACGCCTGCGGCAATATATTAGGCTGTCGGGTTTCTGTTATACTTTATATTTGAATTCTTAAAAGTCTCAAAAACTTTGAAAGGATCTCATGTTTACGACGTATGGGCAGGGTTAAAAGCCTAATCATCGGTACCGTCTGCGCGACCCGTGCGCAAAACATTCACTTTGTGGCTGAATTTTGTTCCCATTTTCGCCCATGAGCTGGCATTCCTTCGGGTATGAGCAAAAGAACAGACAATGTGGTATACAAATAAGGCATAGTCGGTACCGCTTAGTAAATGTGGGGGGATAACACAGACATGTCTACACCGTTTTTTTTTTTGAGTGTTCCAAATGTCATTGTGGGCCATCTTTGCAATCGTCTGCATCCCAACAAAAAATCTCTGCGAAAAATTTCCAAAAATTTTTCCAAAAACATTTTTAAGTTTTCTGTATTCATTTCTACACGATGTACACAAAAAGGAATTTAGGAAAGTTTTGAATTTTGTCATTTTTTTCACTCTTTGTTTTTCGTATGCTAAAGGCACCGGAGTGCCTCCACGTAAGAGACAATGTCGAAATACGTCCTAAAAAATTTTAGAAGAGGAAAAGCACAGTCAGGTGCAGAGAAAAAACCAGACAAAAATTGAAAATTTGAGTGCTTTTACAAACATGCAGCAGACCTGTTGGACATCAGTATGAACGCAGCCTAAGGCTGCGTTACGAAATCCGGGAACAGTTCCAGCACAGTGCTCGAACTGAGCGTTGTGCTGGGAGTGTTCCCGAATTTCGTAATCAGTATGAACGCAGCCTTAGTGCACCTGCGGCGATCTTGGTTTTGAGACCCTGCTATGTCCTCAGCGCGTCGCAAATCTGGGATTTTCACAAGATTCTGGAATTCCCTAGAAAAGTTGGAAAAAAGTGTAACAGAAATTAGAACAACCTAATACAATACTATGTTCGTTGTTATTAGGGTCAAATAGAATTTGCACAACTGCTGCACACTAGATACGACCTCCCCTCTTTTCTACTCGGGTAATCGCCGAGGGCAGGCGGCCATGCGATTTCTGGGCAAGCGGGCACTGGAAAAATAGTTCTGATTTCTTGTGGTCCGCTTGCAGAAATTTGGAAGAATTTTGGCCAATTTTTAGATGAATGCTCGGAGAACAATTGCGGCTTTTTCATAGATTAGTTGCGGCGCAGTGGCCGCATTCTCGCGGACTTTCCGCAAGAATATGCAAAATTATTGGGGGAATCACGGTCCTTTGTGGAGGACCGCACAGCCCGTAGGTACCTTCCGCTAAGAGAAAGTACCCCAAGCTCGGGAAACCAGATGACCTGTCGCACAGAGTCTCACCTTTGCTTGGCGGACGCTCAAAACCCGTAAAAAGACTCCGAGCGCCTGCTGAAGCGCTCGCTCATAGAAATTATTTGACGAGCGCTTGCAGAAAATTTTGTATTGCTGCCCGCTGGCAGAACACGAAGTACCGCTCGCTGAAGATTTGGCCACGCCCCAAAATCTTGCTGACCGCTTGCAGAAAAGCGCAAGTTTGCGGACCGCCTGCCCCTCGCGATTATCTGAGTAGTTGTGAAACAAAATTATGTGTATTTGGTGTTCGCTTGGAAAAGAAATCGTGCCTCTTGACATACACCCTGCAGATCTGAATTTGTGAAAGTTTGATGTAAAAGGTTGTTTATCCCGCAACTATGCAACGGAGCTAATCGATTGCACAGCATGCCTCCTTGCCGAGAAAATTGGCGGTTTACGTGGGCTAGTGTATGTATGTACACCCTGCGCATGCAGCACAGGGTGCTGGACTCACATAACTGTCGGGAGCAGGCGGTCCGCAAGCTCGCGCTTTTCTGCAAGCAGCAAATTTTTGGGGTGTGGCCAAACCTTCAGCGAGCGGTACTTCCTTCGCTGTCGCATGTTCTGCCAGCGGGCAGCAACACAGAATCAGAATTTTCTGCAAGCGCTCGTCATATAATCTCTTTCAGCAAACGCTGGCCGAACTTTCAGCAAGCGCTTGGACTCTTTTTACGCAGTTTCGGGCTTACGTCGAGCACAGGTAAGACTCTGTGTGGCAGAGGTATCACCGTAGGTTTTGAATCAAGTTTGAGGTCCCTTCTCTCAACGGAAAGTACCTGAAGGTTGCGCGATCCTCCACAAAGAACCGTGTGGCCCTCATAAATTTTGCGTTTTCTCGCGGAAAGTCTGCGAGAATGCGGCCACTACGTCGCAGCTAATCTACAAGGAAACCGTGATTGTTCTCCATGCATTCGTCCAAAATTTCGCTAAAATTCTTCCAAATATCTGCAAGCGGACCGCAAGAAATCTGCGAACTATTTTTCCGGTGCTCGCCCGCCCATAAATCGCATGGCCGCCTGCCCCCGGCGATTATCTGAGATAAAGGCTACCCAAGCACGAGGAATATCAGATAACTAACGAAAGAAGAGTCGTCGAAGTGGCTTTTACATATGGTACCTATATCATTTTGTAGAGCATTGAACGATGATTCCAAATCTGTCTTCCGCATCTGCCGATAGCCTTTAAATGCCGAGTTATGGGCGTTTTCTAGGTCGAAAAACTGAGTGCGTAACTGAAACAAAGCCGTCAAAATTGCTCCAATGGTCAGGTGTTGATTATCAGAGCACTTATTCAATAATTACCTTTTCTAATACCCTCACACTCAACAGTGCTCTATTTGAGCAAGATCGTAATTATTTTTTTACATAGATTCTGCGTTCATTTTTTGCTCCAAAAAACACTCATAACTCGGCTCCCAGGGGCCCTTGGCAAATATTGAAAACAGATTTGGGACTAATTAATGCTCTTCAAAGTATGTAGGACTCACCTAGGAAGGCCACTTCGACCAAAGTCGTTTCCCTTGTAAGTTCTGCAACTACTTCTAAAACTTCTCTGCCTTTGCATATGACGCACCCAAATTTTCCCATCATGTAGGTCGTGACGTAAGCTACAAGCGATTACAGCATTGCAAAATCCTAAAGTCGCAGTGAGGGTTATGGTAGGTGTATGGTACAAGGAAAAATTGCAGAGTAAAAATGTGGCTGAAACTTTGCGAAAGGCGATGCGATATCTGACATACCGGTGATGGAAACGACCTTGGTTCCGCATCGTGGGGTTACAGTAACTTTACGATATGGGGTCCCACGCTAAACAGAAAAGGCGTGAATTTGATGAACGCTTATGATATTTGTGTTTGGCTGGGCAAATAGCTCTAACATGCAAAGTTTTGGCGAGTCCCGAGACTTCGATTCCTTAGTGATTGACGCTTGTTCTCAAGCAGCTTTGCGTACAGCGGCTCGTCCAACTTTGTGAGGGCGCCAAATCTCGAGTTGTCTTCGAATTCTATCTCTTTTTTACGAGCTAGATGGGACAACCTCTGGCAACAATTTATGCACACTTTCGGATTGTTGTGTATGGTTTAGATTGAGAGCAGCTTCATTTCCTCTTGAAACTCCATAAATCTCCAAGTCTCAGCAACTCTCGGATTTCAACTACTTTGTCATCAGAAAGCAAGCAGTTTGTGACAGCTCATAGATCACGCGGCATCTGCACACTATCAGAATCTGAATGCACCGCTTTCAAAAAACGAAGAGTTACAGACTTGGTTGCAAAACTTAGTTAACAGCCTGATATAACCTAGCGTTAAAATGACTCCTATAAACAAGCTTGCGGAGAATCTGAAACTGGGCCCGCCACATGAGTGAAATGCTCGTTTTCAAACATGTTTAGTTTTGTTTCAGAGCCGAATTGGATACTTCTCTCGCACTTAGTACAGAACACTTCTCCTTTCTGCTTACGTCAAAAATCCCGTTTCGAGAAACCTTCAATTTGTGATTTAAAAGGAAGCCAAAATTTCGTTTGTTTTATTTTTAGCTTCTAACTTTGCATCACTTATCAATCAGAGCAAAGGAAACGAATCAGGCTTAAATCCCTCTTGTGAAAACTGCGAGATTCAGACTAACGATTTGTATGCAATATTCGTTAAAATCCTTTTAGGAGTAAGTTAATGGGATGACTGAAACAACTTTTGGGTTTGTACCATACCCCATTTATGGCTATATCTCATAAACATTTCTTCGAGCAGTATTTAGGTAAATCATTGTTCTACATCCCGTAGTTTTTATAGGAATGATTTGAGCCGAGTTCGTCTTCTTTGAGTAATAGTTAGTGAAATAACAGCTATTGAGAGCGAAAAATGGAACAGACGAGATCTTAGATTGCTTCAATTTCTATAGTTTAGAGGACCTTTGAAGCGGAATAGCTGAGATGGGCAAAAAAGAGAAGTGGTTTGCATTGAGTGAAAAAGAGGTGCTATTTCAAAAAGAAAGTTAGTCATGTTCGCCATTTTATTTGGGTGCAATATTTGAGAACTTCAGAATTCGCTCAAACTCTGCAGGGGTCATTTGATATGCTAATGTGGATATATTACTCGTT